AGCAGTAGCAGTAGTAGGAGTAGGAGGAGGAGTAGAAGGAGTAGTAGTAGTAGTGGTAGTGGTAGCAGCAACATCAGCAGAAGCAGCAGCAATAGTGGTACGAGCAGCCGGTGTGGTAGTAGCACTAGCAGCACTGTTAGCTGTTGTTGCTGCAACTAGTTTTACTATAAATTACTATAAAGGATTTAATGCATGCTTTTTATGCAGTGTCGTTAAATGCCGTACAACATGAACCATACAGCATCATATAAGTGCCGGCTTGCCGGCTTCGAGTGTCACATGTGTTCATAAAAACACTTAGCAGAGCTTGCCTTACCTGTATGCATAATGTGTTACAGTGAGGTTCATGGCCTTGGAACTGAGGACAAAGCAATAATCTAACTCGTGAGTTTGACCAGAGCTGAAAAGCCAGGCCTGAGGATCCCGTCTCTGAGGGATTGCAGTGCCCGCAGCAGGAGCTCGTCCTGGTAGCACGGCACTTTGGGTTTGGTGATGTTACAGGTAGGCCTGTTCAGGGTTTAGGGTTCCAGCTTGGTAAAGATATGCCCAGATTCAGCATGGCTCCTGCACCGCATCCCAACTCGACACCTGGCCATGCAGCTGCTGCAGCCTGATCTGCTGCGCAGCACTGCTCTACATCTGACAGAAGTCCAGCTCTTGTCAATGTGGGCACTCGATCTCAGGCCAACACACTGCAGCGGGGTCACCGGCCATCAACACGGAAGTGCTGTTGTGGGAAGCTCTAGGCCCTAATTAGGCTGTCAGGGCAAAATCTGCCAACTAGCTGGTGCTTGGTCAACATGCGCGACAGAATCAGGATGGCCTCGTCATCAGGTTTGTGCGACGCAACACAGGCTCCTATCATTGAGTGCGCACATCAAAGGTACAACCTGTTGAAGCTAAGATCGCTGCGAAAAGCTGCGAGCCAGAGCGGCATCAGTTTTTCAGGCATCTGAGGCCCGGCGTCAGTGACTGCTGTCAGAACACCAGCCGTTGAACCCACATGACACCTCAGCATGAGCGACCCGAACCCGCCGAACCCAACCCAAGACGTTTTGAAGCTGCAGCTAGCACCCAGCCTTCTGGTGCCGAAAATCGGCTCGGCAGGCTTTCGGGAGGTCGCGCCGCCGTCCAACAGAGCTACGCAAGCAGACACCAGCCTTCCTCCTCTCGAAAGCCAGCCCGCCGAGAAAATGTGAAAGTGAGACGATCTGCGCTGGAACGCTCTGTACATGCTCTAACTTTGGAGCTCTCTATCCAAACACTCCGCGACGATTCACGCTGTACCAACCCTGACCCTCAGCAGTTCCAAACATGAACGGCAGAGATACAATGAAGTTCCCCCGATTGCTACCGACATGGGACACAACCGAGGCAGTGGCCGTCCTGATGATCCGGATCTGTCAAAGATTTGCCCACAACAAAGCCGCAAGAAAGAACGTGCCAAATCTCTCACGCAGAACTCCTTACTCATGTGCAGACCACCTCCTCATCCAAGTACAAGATCTCAAACTTGCCGAAGGGGGCCGAAAGCCTAAGAGTCAAATGAGTCAATCGCCCACTCTGCTGGTCGCAGAGTGCAAGATAGTGCAAGAGCCCATGTCACGGCCAGGCGAGATCCTCCATCCGTAGAGACTCGGGGCCCAGCGGACCGCGGAGATTCACTTTGAACGCCTGGAATGTCACACACCGGATCGCCCTCGCTGCACATTGAATGAACATGCCTGAAAGAGACCCAGCTGAAAGAAGCGGCGACTTTTTGTCCCGCTCCGGTTTCGGGCGGCACCGCAGCCTCGCCTTAGATGATCCCAGCCCTAAAGTTGGCCATACATGCGCTCGGACATGCCAACCACAAGGTGCAGTCTTCTTCTGTCCAGAGGTCTGGCTTCTTCCTCCGCCCTCCTTTGTCTCTCCTGCTTCTCTTCCCACGTCCTTGGGCACTTTGAATGAGCCGACTGCACTGCGATCTCATATACCTGCCCACTATGCCAAGTGTCTGCCTGGGCTTCGACGGACTCTCTGTCAAATGAGAGAGCGTAAATTGCATGGCAATCCTCCCACCCATGCCAGTGATGCGACACGCGAGCACAATAAGAGCTGCTGAGCAATCGCTGGCCATAAGTGCTGACAGGTGTCGCATATCGCGTCCCGGAAGTCAATTCCTCCAAGCCGTGGTACAAGCCGCTGCGGAATACGACAACATCGCCCTTGAAAAGCTCCTGTAAGGGCTAAGAGGCGAGAGGAGACCCGCAAGCCCAAGCCCAAGGCGCGGCACCTGGCAGTGCCGACGATCCACATTCCTCTTTCCTGGTTGGACGAAAAAGCGTCCGCCCTCGTAGTCCTCACCTTCAGATCACTGGACTACTGGCAGTGGCCAGAGTCGGCATGCTGAACGGCTCCTGCCTGGATCGCTCAGTGGACACATGACCTGGAACGGGAACATTATGGTACCCTGAAGGTCGCGGTGTGGCTCCATGAAGCCGCCCGGGCAGTACCTCAGCGCTTGCAGTTGCTCTACAACTACACACCTCTCCTACTGCAGCGCCTTAGCGCGATCGAGGTCGGCAACCTCTGTGGGGGATCTGCTGCTTTGCAAATGTCCCAGAGATCAGAGATCCTGAGCAACGTAGCCACAGCGTTGCGGAACGAGAATTCTGCTGCCACGATTTGTGTTCGCAATCTGATCTGACAGACTGCACGCTGCATGTGGGATGGATGCATTGTCCAAGGAGCTTCGGGGGATAGGCCTCCAAAGCAAGCGGCTTCGGGGAAGTCTCTGCTCTGAACATCTCGATCCTTGTTGCCACTCTCAGTTCCATTCAAATCCGGCTGATGCAGATCCGCAACTCTCTTCGCAGACAGGGATCTGTGCCGTCGCCACTGGGGCAAGTGCCGTGTACAAGGCCTCACGTAGGGCGTTCAGCGGCGATGGCAGTGGCTCCCGCAAGTAGGCAAACTTTCCTCAACATGACACCGGAATGGATGGGAAGCCTCGCGACTGATAGGGCTCACAAAGATGACGAGGGGCCGTAGCCAAAGTTCATAGCCTTCCTTCGACGAGAGACAGCCAAAATCCGATTCACACGACGTCAGCTTCCACGGGGTGCTGGTTCAGATGTCAGCAGGATAGCAGATAACGTCTGGTTGGCCGTGTCTCTGCTGCGGCCGAGTCGCAAGTCCACGATGCGCATCGCTCCCGGATCGTCGGGCTTCGCAGGTGTGCAATCGACAAGGCCGTCAGGCCACAAGCTGTCCGCATCGCCCTTCACCTCCGTCAATGTTTTGAGCTCATAGACTCACAGAGCTTTCAGGTACGCAGAACGCTTCATCCACCTTGATGCATTGAGCCAAGTGGCCATCTCAGCTAACCGCTCGATGGTCTCCTGAAGTATGGAACCCAGGTCTTCCCCAGAAGACGGTAAGCAGCAGGCACAGCCAGGGGGCCAGGTCGAGGAGCTTCTCCAACACCAAGAAGCCCTGCTCTCAGAAGGGAGAAAGCTAAAGCGATACTTCGATCACAGGCGGATGGACGCGCGAGACGCCGAGGCACGGCAGCGGCCGCCTTGCAAGCTGTGCCCGGGCCTCGGAGTCCAGCGTCCGGCGCCCTTCTGCGATTCGCTTTTCCACGTCGGAGCAAATCGCGTCTTCCAGCCTCCAAAGACGAGACAGCAAGGATCTCAAGCTGCCAAGAAAAGGCACCTCGTCCTCATATCTGCGTCGTCCATCACAGCCGAAAGCCGCCGAACAAGGAAAGCCCATTGCAGGGATTCGAGAGGCGGGGTTATGTTTTACTGCTACCATAATCAGGAACCTTAAAGCTTAGAGGATAGCAGTACTAAGACTTTAGGCCTCTAATGGCTTCTACATCATTGCAGAGCTCTTGGTGCACTGTCATCTATCAGTCATCTATGAAGTCCCGGAAACACTGCTTGAGCCAAACCAGCAAACAACAAAGAAACATGTTGGGACCGCCGATCCTCCCCGTGTGGTATGTTTGAGACACACACACACACACAGAACCGCGCGCGCGCACGCGCTCTCTCTGTCTCTCTCAACCCGCAAATCTCTCTGGCACGCGCGCCTCTCTCTCCTGGCTTTGCCACGGGCATAGGCCGTGAGCAGTCCGCATGACCGGCACGTTTGCGCAACCTCATCCTTCATGTTGAGAGATCGGCTCGGCTGTTCAAGAGAAGTTGGTGCTCCGATGTCTGGAGGTCTGAGCTGGTGCCCCGGTCACTTCATAACACAAGTGTAGCAACAACAATCACGTTCTCTCTCTCTCTCTCTCTCTTGCTTGCTTGCTCGCTCGCTCGCTCGCTCGCTCGCTCGCTTGCTTGCTTGCTTGCTTGCAAGGGGTGTGGACGAAGCTCTGTTGGTCCGAGTTGGTCCCTGGTCAGAAGGCCTACCCGCCCGACTCGCGCCTGCCTGTGATGTTCGGTTTCGGGTTGGAGGGATGCAGCCTGGGGGTTTGTTGGCGGCCCGAGGGCCGCTCGATTCGGGCGTTTCAGGGGATGCGAAAACAGAACTTGCAGCCTGGAAACTCAGGGCCTGAGGCGATAAAGACCATAAGAGCGATAAGGTTGTGCACAACTTCTCTGTGGATGTCGGCTGTCACTTGCGCAGATGCTCTCTGTCTTCTTCCACACACACTCTCTCTCTCTCCCTCCGCCAAAGGAAGCAGCCTTGCCTCCGGCACGTCAACACCGAAGATCCTGCACAGCGGCGGGCGTTTTCCATAGCCCTCGACGCAACTGGCCGTGCAGGGCCTCTGAGGCGCAAGACCGAGACCTCGGATGTTGAGCTCCACCTCAGGACGACAGCAGAGGCAGAGACCTCTGTGTTGTGTATCCTCTGTTTGCAGCTCTTGTTACAGAAGTTGGTGTGCTTACGCTGACCCTAACGAGCGGGAGGCTTTCCGACTTCGGGCTGCACGACAGACTCTGCCTTGTAGCGAACGCTTGTCTGTTACAGCCCATGAACGACCTTTGCCTCCACTGTTGACTAATGGCTCTAGCCATGCATGATCCGATTGTGCGCTCGCTTCCGCCGCAACGAGAAGGATAAACGCCAGACTTCAGAGTGGTGCGAAGGAGCAGCTGTAGAGCACGTTGCTTGCACGCGATGTGGTTTCTGTCTTGAACCTGAGAGACTTTAAGTATTTCTCAGTGGCCTCGATTGAAGCCACATGGTTGCCAAGGATCACTACTACGACTACTAGGCAGTGCTGCAACCGAAGATCCCATCCCGGGGCTCGCACCGTGGTGGGCGAGGCTATTTTGTAGTCAGTGAAGACCCGCTGAACGAAGGCATCCCTCAGCTCAGAACGGATTTTGAGCTCCAAAACCTCTCATCTCTGAGTCCTCGGCTCCAGAACAGAATCTTTGATTCCCACCGCGAAGGAAGACGGCCGATACTCAATGACATTGGCAATGGTGCCTCGCACTCCGGGCAGTACGACGCAAGCAAAGATGCCTGTCCCCACTGAGGATGTGGCCACTACTGGCATCGATCTCCTGCCCAATCCTCCTGCGATACACGGCCGGATTTCCAGGCTACCACCTCCACTCACAACAATCAGCCGGGCGTCCCTAGGGTGCTGAATGGCGAAGTTGGGATGCCAATGATGTCCTGAGGCTTGTTGCTTTTCCGTGCAAGCTTCGAAAAGTCGTGTCTGAATCTAAACACCACGCTCGAGATGGCACAAGTCATCAAATTGAGTGCGTCCAAGCCACGGGAGCATCGGTATAGATCAGCGTCCAGTTTCCACCTCGGCCAGCACCAGGCAAGGCCATACACAACTGCAGACTTCTGCTGGCGTGGCCAGGGCCGCGCCAACACATGAAATGCAGGCCACATGGACCTCTTTTGTCCCAGTCAGGCATAAGCACATTTGGTGCGACAGATCTTTCGACAGGGACTATACTGTCCTATGAAGCCCAAGCAAAAGGGCAGAATTCATTTGTTGCATCCACGGCCAGTGGGTTAAGTGCAACAAAGCGATATGGAGATATATGAAAACTCACGAAAGGAATCGAGGAGGAGCTTGCTTCGGGATCCACCTCGAGACAAAATATGACATGCCACAAGACCGAGACCGCAAGCAAACGCAGCGTGCTTGTGTGGCCTCGGTCTCTCTTCATCGTCCGCCGCGGCGGCGCTCCCGGCTGGGCCCGCCCGCCACACGTGCACCTCGCAACGAAGGTTTCTGACTTGCGCCTTGTGGCGATGTGGCCGCAGGGCTAACACTGCGAGGGGGCACCGCTGCTCCAAGACTTCGCTCCAGCAGTCTGCACGCCATAATTCTTCAACTCTTGGGTCAGCTCATCAGCAGCCTCCTGTCTATGACCGTCACGAAGGACCGAAATTCCGCACGAGCCGCTGTGCCCCCCGGTACTTGCAGCTCCTGCTCCTCCTTGCCGATCTTCTGAAGCAGCTCCTCTAAGCCTTCCCGATGTGACGTGTGCCAGTACAACCTGCTGTATATCAGCGTCTATACTACTGTGAGCTGCTTCTGAAAAGTACATGCTTCAATCTGATCATGCCTTTTCCCTGCCACTGAAGAAATGCCGTTAAAGTACTTCATCGCATGAAACCGCACATTAGTGTGTACGTGTGGGTATGCAAACGAGTAGTTTATGACTCCATTGAGATGTTCACTGATCTATCTATCTATCTGCCCGTTCATATATTTAGAACCCATGCATTGAAATCTTGTCTACGGTAGCTGTATGTACAGCCGTTTACACCGCAATACACCGCATGACAGCCGCCTTCCACTCCGACCGCTCGTGGGCCGCTGGGAAGCGAGCTGCCCGGCAGGTTGTAGGCTGCTCGGATGACTTCCATGGCCTAGCGAAGAGTGGAGCAGATTCGTGAGATGAAAGGAAGCCTCAGAGAAGAGAGGCCCTGTGTCGCACGACTTTGGGTTGTTGTGAAGGCATCCAGTTAACAGGCAGAAGGCCGGAAGACAATTCCCTAGCCCGGCTGCGCAGCCTTCCCTGGCTGGTGCAACTGTAGGCATCCACGAGCGAGCACTGCGTAGAACTTTTCGTCGGCCCGGCAGCCCTCCTCAACACGGGGCCCGGGGCCAAGCCCTTAGCAAGCTCAAAGAGGCCCAGCGGAGCCGTGGAGCCTTGATCATCTTCTCGTAGACGCTCAAGGCCCTCTCGAAGCGCCTGCACTTTCGCGTCAAGGTGATAAGATCGACGCGAAGATCGAGTAGGGCCTGGCCTGTTCTGGAAGCAGGCATGGATCAGGCAGGTGTAGACCTGGATGTTGGGCTTCAGCCCGTTCTGAGAGCTGAGATCCTGGGAACTTATCCGAACGGTATCAGAACAGATTCGCGCTTGCACTGGGCCTGGGCCGGGCCTCGACCATCTGCATTGCTTGGCCAAGGCGCCGAGCGTTCCCCAGCCTCAGCACAGCAGAACGCAGAGCCCCCGCAACTGAACGAAACGGCACGCGGCAATCACAAATCGCAGATCTCGTGCAGATCCAAGCTGCAGCTTCACAAGGATGCTCAAGGTGTAGTTGCTGGGTTTAATGCCAGATGCCTTCATCTCATCCAGAAGACGCAATGCCTCGCTGACATTGCGCTGCTTGGTGCAGCCATCCAAGATCGAGTTGTACATGATCTCGTCCGGCAGGAAGTGGCCGTCTCTCCTCATCTCCTGCGGCGGACGATATCTAGGCGCAGGTGAGACTCCTTCCGCATGGCTGCGTTGCCTCTTCTACACGAGTTCGTATTCTCTGTTTCACATGCTTGTGTCTCGAGTCAAACGTACTGCTCCTTCTTGTTCACTGAACGATGCACAATGCTCTTTCATATCAGGGTGGTCCAGGGATTTGCCTTCTCAAACCTTCCACGATTCCATTTACAGTCTCTGGCCATGGGCGGCCAACCTAGAAGGGACACATGCCGATATTAGTTCGGCGCGAGTACCCACGAACTGCGCAAGCACCGATCAAGGGCAATGAAGCACTACAGTATTAAGCTATGAAGACTGCCTTCTGGCACATCTCAGTCATGCCCATGCGCCTCGAGAACACTCAAGGCACGCTCCACATCACCGTTCAGGCAATAGCCCTTGATAATCGTGGAGTAGGTGATGATGTCAGGCTCGATGTTGGTTTCTCGCATATCTTCCAAAAGCATCGAAGCCTTCTCCATCGCATTGCACTTCGCACACGCGTCCAGCATTGTGTTGTAGGTGATGGTGTTGCAGGCAATGTTGTTGTTTCGCATTTCCTGTCAAGGTCACCCCTCCCGCACGGCACGCTACACAGCCAGGCGATGACTGTCAAAATGCCGCCTTGTACACAGCAAGCACTTTGTCAATCCGTTTGGAGACCGCAAAGCCCTTCAGCACGGTCGAGTATACCACGGTGTTGATCATGCTTTTGCCTTGATTCACCATTGCAGCATGCTGCAACCTGTCAGGCTGCCCTCAGGACCATTCATGCAAGGGGCGGTCATCATACTGCAATTGGTCCTCCACATGGCACGCTGAACATGTCTGGTGGCTGCCCCTAAATGGCCCTGCACAACAGATCGCAGAGCAGCGGTCCTGGACGAGTTGCCAGGCCTCCTCTCCCTGCTTGTTAATCACCAAAGCCTCCACCACGCAGCCGATAGTGATAGCCGTCGGCTTCACGTTGTGGCTCTGCCTCGTCATTTTTCCATCGCCACATGACACCACACGCTTTGTCACTTTTAATCTGAAACCGAGCCGCAGCTGCGCCCAGAGCTCACGGACCTGATGGAGGTGACCGGCCTCGCCGAAGGCTTTGATCATGGCCCCGTAGATCGGAGCGGAGATGTTCCTGAGCGCAGCGCAGGAACACACAACGACAACCCCACTGGCACTGGATTTAGGACTATAGCCACGGAATCGTGCAAAGAGTGCTGCTGAATGGACATCTGAGACTCTTAAACAGGCCCTTAACCTTGTATCGGCCGATGAAGTCGGAGAGGCTGTCCAACCTCTTGATTCGAATGCAGGCTTCGATGATCGACGAAAAGAGAACTTCATCGATGGGCTCCTGCGCAGCAGATCGGGCCCAAGCGGGGGGGGGAGCTCAAGCTCGCAGGCTCTCCTCCACGCTGTCAATCAGGCTCAGAACCCGAGCCTCAAGGCAAGGCGGCAAGACTCGAGATGGCTCGAAGCCGCGATCCTGTCCGCACGCTGCGCTGTGCAACCGAGGCACCAAGTCTGTCTCAGCGGAATGCTGCGTCAACGACTTCAAGAGAATCGAGCAGGTGATCAGGTTCGCCTGGGGTAAGAGTTGAGACGCAAGTAGCCCTGCGTTTACATGCAAGTCTCGAGGCTGTGCTGGCTCGCTCTGCAGCCTGCCTTGAGGCCGGCTTGGAGCATCTGGTCCACGATGCTCCACATACCCACGCGATCTCGGGCAGCCACTTTCGCGTTCAGGAGCTCGTTGTAGGTGACCTCTACAAACTACAATCTGCACGTGTATGACTTCGAGAGCACACTCGGCACCTTGTTAGCTGCCAGCCCGCGCGAAGTCATCTCCTCAACAGCTCCAAACTGCCCTCTGACTCTGATCTGCGCCCACTTTTCGCCCCACTCTCTCCTGCACGAGACTCCGTGCCTCGCCCAAGCGGCCGGAGGCCAAGTAGCCCTCCAGAGACAAACTGTCTCTCAAGCGAGTTGAGTTTTTTGGCTTTGAGTTATAAGGAGGAGGGTTTGGAGGATTTGGGGCTTCTCCCTGATTCTCACGGCTTTCGAGCTACGAGTAGTCAAAGCTTCGCATCACTCAAAGACCGCGACCTTGAGAACCGTGTTGTAGCTGACCTTCTGCAGAACTCCACTTCAAGTGGGAGGATGCTTCACAGCTTCACCTCCATCTGAGTTGCCGACAACGTCCACGAAGCCGAGCTGCTTCATCTCCTGCTTCAATCCAATTACGTCAATTTTATGTCATTACGATGCACAAAGCGTGCTTCAAAAGCGGCTCCTCAAAGAGGGACAAGGCTGCATCAATGTCGCTGCATTGGACGCAGGCATCGAGGTAGCCTAAGACTAGAAAGTGCGTAACAACTCCGGCCGGTGACCGCAGGGCATGGCTACTGCCAAGCGGCAATTGTAAATTTGGGACCGCATCACAACACCGTTCTTCTTCAGGCGATTGAAAACAGCTGTCACGTTGGGCAGGTCCTGTCACGACCGTTCAGCTACGAACAAGCAGCACAACATCAAACAATATCAAAAAGCTGAGTGAGTGTGTCATCCCATTGGGTCCTTGTTCTTCACATAAGCCTTCATGGTTGTCACTGCACGCTGCAGTTCAGCATTGCTGTCCTTGCTGTCCTGCAACACCGAGGGCTGAGCAGGCCTCAACAAGCACCCGAGCTAAGCCGAGCTACCAGTATCCCTTCTTTCAAAAAAGCATCCACCTGGCATCGCCTTGCTCAAGATTAGGCTTCTCCTGCAGCGGCTGCACGCCGATCCGCTTTAGCTGCGCTTGCACTTCCGCACCGCGCTGCTCTTTGTTGGCCAGGCAAAGTATCTGCGGAAAGCTGGGATTCAGCAGAATCTGCCACATCGGGGGAGGCCCGGCTGGGGTTAAGCCGAGTCTAGCAAGCTGTCTCGTCAAGTTGTATGGCACATTGACATCTTGTCGCAAAGACCTCTTGCTGTCTAGATCGTGAGCATTCCCGCGGCAGAAGACGATGACAAGGAGGAAAGTCCCCGCACCGGAAGGCACTTAAAGCTCATAGCAGCCATAGCAAAGGCCGGAAGACGCAGCGAAGCACAGAGGGCCCCTTTCCAGGCCTGTCCCGCCGTAGAGGGGGTGAGGAAGCGTGGGCCCGAGTCCGCATCCGGCAGCTGCTCGAGCTGCCTCAGGGCCTCCTCGAGCTTCCCCCTTTGCGCAGCCTGAGTTCTCACCCCAAGTCACCCTGGGCCGCTGACTGCTCTGCGGTTTCTGGTCTTGCTGCTGTAGTTCACTGCGAAGCTCTGCAAAGATTTGGGGTCTCTGTACTTTTTTGTGTCGATGGACTTCGTCCAGATGAGGGAGGCGGGGACGGTGCTTAATTTATTAATCCAGATCAGGCACTGCGGCGGCCAAAATGGCACGCATCTTGGGCCTCGGGTCGACGAAGATGCCGTGGCACTTGAAAGAAGGTTGCCACGACGGCTACTGAGCTCAGGCTGGCACGTCAAGGAGTCTTCCGGCAACTTTGAGGCGGTGACGCCCACACCTCTACCACACAATGTCTGCGCTGCAGACAGCCCCGTGTCCACGGTCAGCTGATGTGGTCTGTTACATGGCGCATGGCGCACCAGCAAAATCGCGACGGCGTAGCTGGGCAGCCATCAGCGCGGCCTGCAACCAGCAAGCTCGAAGCTGGAAGAAATCTGCCAAGCACTGAGACCGGGCAAACTGGGAATGCTGCGTAGGTCGACATCTCGGCTCGCTTATCCCAGTCCTGTTCAACGGTCTTGCCCAGTCTGGTGATAGGAAGCTTCAGTTTTCACTCTCATGCGCACCTGAAGAACTTGCAGAACCGGCGGAAGAAGATCGATGGCCTCAGCAGGCTGCCAACGGCATCGTCGTGCCGCTTGTGCCCATGTTCAATGCTTCACCCCACGCAGAATCTGAGACATGTTCATCATCACGGAGCAGTGCAGCAGGCAACGCCTCACCACGTGACCGTTACTTCAGAGGACGGAACGGCCCAGCTGCAATCTCCAACCTCCATCTCCGAGAGGAGCTTCGCACTCGCCGGCCCTTTCAGAGCCGCACGCAGCTCTTCTTCCACCTCTCGAAAACAAGAGAGTCCCCGCCAGATTTGGAATCCGCTGCCGCATCGCTGCACCTCCGAGCCGGACTTGCGGAGTTGGCGCATGGCCGTCAAAGCCTGCCCAGAGGCTGGGCTGCGGCGCCCCTCTCCCGATCTCTCCCGTTTCCGTTCTCAAAGGGGGCCGGCCTTGTAGAGGCCCGAGCCGAAGCTGCCGGTCAATTCGGCGCGGCCTTTCTTCACCTTCGCGATGCGAAGGTGAATGCCGCACATCTTTTCGAGACGATGACTGGGCGCCGGCCTGCTCCCAGTGCTTCCAGGATTCCTTGGCTTCCCGGAGCGGTGCGTCCTCCAAAGATGCGAGGGGCACAGCAGCTCTTTTCTGTTTCGATTTCTGTTCCCTCTCGTCAGCCTCATAAGTGTTTGCCAACTTTCCCTTCGTCTTCGTCCTGCATGGTGACCAGCAACTTATCAACACTTTGGCTGTAGCGAGTTGCCGGGCAGCTGACCCCCCTCTCTGAGGCAAACCCATGCACCTTGGCTTGTCGAAACTCCAGCTTTCAAGCTCCATGCATCTCCATACTCCACTGCCGCTGGAAGTGCTGAAAGTGCAGCAGGGCTGCGCCACGTAAACCAGGGCAGCAACCCCGAACATAGCAAGCTCCATCCATACAAGGGACAAGGCCTAGCAGGACAGCAGGAGGAGGCTGGGGATAGACTCATCTGGAGACAACGCAGCTCTCAGATGGAAGCATCTGTGGCCTCTTGGGCAGCGGATGCCATCACTGACAACGCTTCCACAATGGCCATTTTTCTTGGTGGCAAAGGTTTCCTCGGCGATAGACTGGGCTGAGCTACTCCTATTCCAGTCGCTCCTCTCACCCTCATCGACTTTTCCGTCCTTGCCAGCAAGGCCGCGCAGCGGCTAAAACCGAGACCCGAGACCCGAGACCCGCCCATGCCATCCTAATAAGCCCATTGGACCTAGCTGGCCCGTGGTTTCCGCCCCCTGTTTCGCTCTTGGAAAGGGGAGAGCTCGGTCGGAGTCGGAGGCGAAGACCCTCCCCTGTTCCGATGGCACTCCTACGGCCCTACTTCCCGTCTTAGCAGCTCCACATTGCAATCGAAGTTCCTTCCTGAAGCTTGACAGGAAAGAAATCAGGCGGGAAGAGGTTTTCCCACCTAAGCTCCGGAAAGATCACAGCACTTCGTCAGGAAATTTCAGTCGCGTGTGCATGTGCCATCACGCTGCGACACTATGTACTCAGACAAGCAGCGCACTGTTAAAGCGCTTGTGAACTTCAATGGGGCTTCAATCAGAGCCTTGGCAGTGTTGTGCATGATCTGAGAGACACGCCGGACTCGAAGCGGGCGGGTGGGTTGTGCAGTTGCGGGGCAGTCACGTGGAAAGCAACAAGCATTCACAGACTTGCGTGTTCATCACAGCCAAGGATCTGATCGCAGCACCTAGGCTAGGATATTTAGGCTTGAGCCCAGTGGCGGACGGATGCACCAATGTACCAAATCGAAGCAAGCGGCAGCTCCCATTGAAATGAGATGGGAAACCTTTTAGCCCTGGGAATCAGGCCAAGCTTAGAGGTCGGGTCCGAGGTTGGATTCCACCGGACCTCAGCCGAAAAGCTTTGCCTTCAAGAACGACTGTGCTCCCAAGCCAGATCGAGACGACTGCTAGATCGGCTATTCGGCCGGAAACATCTGACCTTGCACACACATTCCACGCGAAACCTCATTCACTACAGGCCACGCCCTCCACTTGCCTGTTCTCTTTTGTGGCCGCGAAGCCACGGTCCAGAGACTTGATGGCCTTCCCATGAGAGACGAGCAGCAGGAAGGCCGAGGATGTGGCTGCTGCCAGCAAAGAGCTCTGCGTGTAAGTGCGTGTGTGTAAGTGTGGTAATGTGTTCTTCGTCTTGTTTGTGTGTTCCGCCTCCAGCAAAGCCCCTCTCGCAGCCAGGCGCTGGCTCTCACCCTGCTGGGGCTGCGAAGCCGCAGAGCCCGGTTGGCCAGGTCTGGGTGCCTGCAATGCCACAGCAAGAGCCTGCTGAACAAGCAACGAAAGAAGCCGCCTGTTGCGTGGCAGCGAAGGCGGAGCCGCGCCCCAGGATCACTACAATGGTGCCCGCCAACAGCCCCACCTCAACCAGAGCATGCAGCAGGAGTGCTTCAATCTTCCACATGCTTGTGTTCTGTGTCAGAGGGAAGCACCCGTTGGCAAGCTTTTCGGAGACCGCTGCGTCGAGCCACACGACCTGTGGTCAGACACAACCTGGATGCACTGGGCACCGAGGGCAGAAGGTATGATCAAAGAGGTGTCCTGGCATCCAGGCAGTGGTCAAGGTCGCCATCTTGGGCAACTACCGCCTGACTAGATATAATGCGTGTGCCACTTCAAACAGATGGCAGAAATACCAATAGCACGTGCAACGTCTAGAATCTACGTGAGCGATTGGATCGTCGAATGTGGAGCTACCCCACTGTGTTAGCTGTGTTAGCTTTACAGTGCATGCAAAGGTACATGCGGAACAGAAGGAAGCAGAAACAGCTGCAAAATCCATCCTTGGAGTCGGCAGCGACCTTTGCCGTCCCCAACGAGTTTGGTGGATAGCAACATAAGGGTAGTTGTCAAAATGATGGTCCCTTTTGGGGTACCCTAAATAATAGGTGCCGTATTATAATAAGGACCCAAAAAGGGACCATAGTTTTGACAACCACCCATAAGCCTTTTACCGCCGCAATCTCCTTCTTTCGGTGCCGGACCACTGCAGAAAGTCGACCCATCGGCTGCCGTTCAAGAAGCGGAGCTCGCTGCTCCACTCCAGGCCTCCGACGTCACTCGGGGTTTAGGGTTTAAGGGGTTTAGGAGTTTAGGGGTTTAGGCTTTAGGGTTTAGGGTTTAGGGTTTAAGAAGACTCGGTTGGGCAGAGGGCGACCATCAGTCTTTTTCGGAAAAGAGGAAGAAATCAGCCACGACTCTCCGAGAATTCAAGGACAGCTTTCGACATCCGAAGCGCTTCCTTCTCCGAGCTCTCGCCCTCAATGCGACGTGGCAGTTGCTCCGGTAGAATTCGTGCTTGCGCTTTCAGGTGTTCAGGCTTGGGAGTCGGCTGCTGCGAGGATCGTGGGACTTAGTAAGTAAGGTTATAAGTCCTTTAACTGGGGTTATATGTATAGTTACCTTAGCTATAACCCTACTTACTAAGTCCCATGATCCCTTAAGTGGTGGGCTTCTGCAAAACGTGCGCCGATCGAGATCGTTCTTGCTTGGTGCACAGTCGTGCGGCCCACGACTCGCTGCTCCCTCTTACTAGCGCACTGCTCACTGAAGCAATGTAAGAAATCTACAAATTTGTGGATGTCGGTGCGGAATCCAAGCAGACTGCTGGCTAACACTCTGCGATTTTTTGCAGCCAGAAGTTTGCCGAAACACTCCAACCCGTGCTACCAGTATCCACCTAGAGTTTCGAAAGATTCAACACGGCTTGAGGTCAGTCTCTGGCACGTGTTTGGGCACGGAGCCTCGGGGACACTTTGACGCACCAAAGACATGACACTTTGAAGCTTGAAGAGTGGACTTCTCGCTTGGCAAGACATGGCTTCAAGGAGCCCCGGAACACACTTTCAGAAAGAATGGCCAAGGACGTGCAAAGCAGGAAGCCTGTGTGGTTGCGGAAGCTCTCCGCGAAAGCAACGAGGCCTCGTGCCCAACTCACACATTTCCACACACGCACACAGGGTTTTGAAGCCGGGCAAGCCATGGGCACACTCCATGTATCGACGTGATCCAGGCAGAAGTCGAGGCTTGGGCAATAAACGCCTCGCCACTCGGCTCGTTGCTGTCTTAGCAAGCGGCCGAGCCTTCGAACGACATTTTTGGTGACGAGTTCACAACATCGTCGATGAAGCCTGCTGTACGTCTCTGCTGCCTCTGGAAGTCCAGAAATCGGGTCCTCGCCAATCTTTCTTCAATATTCCGCAGATATATCTTGAGAAGATAGGCTCTCCTGCTTGCCACCTGATGCGATGCCGAAGGGCACATTGGTTACAATCCTTAAACCGGTGTGAGCCGAGAACGCACAGAACCTGCTTCTGACACATAGGAGGCCGAGCCACAAAGTAGGCCGACCTCGTCAAGACTCAACGGTGAGCTGCCGCCTGCTGAGCTTCCGGCTGGTTTGCCCAGGCCTTGCAGCATTTGCACCACCTTCGAAATCGAGCCCTGCGTCAAAAAGCGAAAGTCACATCAAGCTCTTGCTTCCATGAGCAGTATAGCTGGTTGGCAAGAATCTAACAAGCAGTTGTGAAGCATCTCCTGGCCGTGGGGACCTGTTCTCTATACTCTTGCTGGGCAATGAGAATGAAAAAGAACCCAGCTCCCCGGCCAACCCAACCTTTCCGCTATGGGCCTGAAAACCTACATCATGCTAGTGACATCTTGGAGAAAAATATGTTTTGAAGCCTAAAGAACTACATATGTTTCCCCCAATATTGTTCACTAGGCTTAAAACCCTAAGCTCTGAAACTTGCTGCGAGGCCTGCACAAGTTGCACTTTGCACGGAACGCGCTCCGCGAGGCTCTCGAGGTCCGCCTTGCCGGCCTCTCCGACAAGAGCTCCCGTGAAGGAAAAAGGGATGTTGAGGGAAAAGCCCCACACTGCCGATGATAATGCTGCTACTACTACTACTACTACTACTACTACTACTACTATACGATGATGACAATGACGACTTCACCGTGCCTTGGCCGGCTCATTCTCCGGCAGCTGCACGCGTCGCAAGGTGCGCCGCAGGTTGGCTCGTGCACGGCCAATTTGCTCCTGTGCACTCGGTTTAGGGTTTAGAGTTTACGGTTTAGGGTTTACGGTTGCATCTCAGCCGAATCTCAGCCTTACGGTGTAAGGTTTGGATTCAGGGTTTCGGATTTGTTGTTGTTGATCGGCTGAGCCTGCTGATGGGAGGCCTGATGTGGAGAATTCCCCGTACCTCACCTCCTACTTACCAGCCTCCCATTCCACCAACAGGCCTGCTGTAGCCGGATGGAAAGTTCTGTCACAAGCACAACTTCCATTCTGGACTGCCGAGCGGCTCCTTGCTAAGGCTGTTCAGACAGCAGGACATGAACTGCGAGGTGCTGGACAATGTCGGGCGTTGTGTTTTGATTCAGCACTGTTAGCACATCGCGGGGCGATTTGTTGCTTCTGCGGGACTTCTACGCCAAACGATGCTTCATGCTCGTCGGGAGAATTAACCACGTCCAAGTGGCCAATGCCAGACACACACACACATACTGTTGAACAGCTGATCTCACTTCATCTCGCGCAAATCTCGAGCACAAGAATCTTGAGGGTTGCAGCGCACAATAGCGCACAGCATCTTGACAACACACCTTCGACTTAAATCTCCTCCGAGTTGTCGCTGCCCAGCAACCTCGACTTCGGCATTGAGTCATGGTAACCGTTGACACTGTTTATGCTTTCGTGATGCTACGAGTCAGTTACAACCAAAAGCCAGCAGCAGACGAAGCATCTGTTGCCAGTTGCACTCCCCTGCCATCAACTGCAGCAAGTGGCGTTAGCTTTGAAGCTGCTGGGTGCGGCTGCACTTGCAGTGACGACGCAAAGTCCTCAAACGCCTCCGACAAGCAACACTCCGACAAGAAGCCGTCTACGTTATCACCATCGAAGGCCTGAGAGGAATGCGAAGGGAACGATTTGAAGGGGTAGTACTTCAAGTGGTTCCCAGACAGCTGATCCAACACCATGCCCAGGGCTTCCACCAGGATGGCCTTGGCGGGAGCTCACCGTAACATGAGAAACCGCAATAAAACGATAACAGTGGTCACAACAATACTAACCATAACAACAATAACAATAGCAAGAAGAACAAGAAGAGCAATTGCGATACTTGTGACTGTCTTATGTTCCTTCTACAATAAGAGGATGCCGCATTGCCAACTCGTGCATTTAACCAAGGCAGCAGAAAATGCCGACAGCGAGCCCCGGAACCGCAGAATGGATCCCAAAGGACCAACTCCTCGTCGTTGTGGACAGCAGCGCTCAAGCGTCTTTGCAACGGTGTCGCCTGGACCTGTCCGCAAAAACCCTGCAAACACTGCACGTGTCTAAGGTTTTCTGGTCTCGGGAAGCAGCACATGCAGGCGCTACTCGATGCTCCAAAGACCGTGCCGCCAAACTGAGAGTTACTGACTCCATTGCTTCACCACGCGACGCAGGCAGCTGCCAAGGTCTCCCGCAGCGAGGCATCCCCAACTGCCTGCAATGACTTCTGTTCGGACTTCTGCACCGAAACATCGGCATAAGAGTGGTGGGCTAGAGGCAGAATATTGAAACCATCACGCCGTTGCAAGAAGCACATGGACACCTGCACAGTTGCTCCATGCCAACATCTATAACTACGGCTATAACATCTGCAAATTTGAGCAAACTCCCGAATATCCAATTCAGCGACCATCGAGATCCGGGGTTGTGCTCTTCACGCTTCTGGCTTTAAGGCTTTGGATACTCGATCACTCACCCAGTCGTCTTGGATGACAGCAAGACGCCCTTGCCGCGCATGCTACTTAGAAGCTCCTTCTCTGCTCGATAGGGGAATCTGTGGCCAGAGAGCGTGGGCCTTGCGGTGCCCTCGCTTGTGCAGAAGTCCGGAGGCTGCCATGCTCACCTGCTGAGGTGCAGGAGCGTCTCCCTTGATTTCAACAGCAACTTTTGACATCTACGACTCGGGTTTTGGAAGTCTTGTGCCTGACACTCATCGTGCCGCAGCCGGACTCTCACCTCTGGCGGCACGCTGGGAGCTGGAGCTTCGGAGCAAGCCTGACGTCATCGGCTCGGTGAGGATCAAGCAACAAATGCGACGGTAATCTGCCAACTGTGCTTCTTCTCCATCTTTTCGAGCCTGATTCTACCATTCCTGCTGTTTCTGCTGGCTACTGCACCCGGTCGCTGTGCAGACTAGACTAGACCTCCTGAGATAACATGCAGCAGGGTCGCTGAAGAGCCCAAGCTCGTCAGGATGGACTCGGCGACCCGATCTTGAACCAGGCCAGTGTGGTAGAGCCGTGACTTCTCCTCACGTTTGAAAAAGGTGCGGTACTCTAATCATGCCCTTGTCTTGTGACATCGGATGACTTCCGGTCGAGCGTCTGAGGAGACCTTGATGACCGGCGCGCCGGCTCGACCTCGTGGACGAGCAAGGAGGCAGAGTCTCTGACGCCCTCCCCGACACGACCCTCACACCATAAGCAACCAAGCGGCACCCCAGTAAGGGGCTCAGGACCTCCTCCGTCTCAACCGAGGCTGAAGGGCCACTGGCATCCTTCGGAGGTCTTTATAGATTATGGAGCACAATCCTCCTTGGCATCCTAGTGCTACCGGTCCTTGCCGAGAGTGAGATACTGGTCCCAAGGTAGTCTTTGAAGTCCCTTCTCCAAGGAGCGCCTCAGCGATAGACACGAAGCATGTCGACCTGGAGATCCAAACAAAGCCTGCGATCTTTTGCTCCAAGTCAAGGGCACATCTGGTGCATGGAAGGGTTCCCCGACATGCACCAACACAGATTCGGCCACTCGACTTTGCAGCACTGCACGCCAAAGCGTCTCTGTCGTGCCGTGGACAGCAAGTCCTGCTTCGTGCCGTCTCTCGGAAAGCAGCGTGCAGCATGCAAAACCAACAGGGAACGGCCTCCCGCCATCGTCTCGAAGCGCCCAGGTACGCCAAGCACCTGCAACTCGCGCTCCAAACCTTTGGTGCAGCAAGGCAGAAGCAGGATCAACACGCAGACAAGCTCAAAACTGATAATGACATCAACGCGGGCTAGCTGCTACGTTCCAAGCCAGGCGATGTCACCAAGAAAAGTCGGCGAAGTGCCTGGCTGCGACATCTCTCGAAGGGAGGTGCGAGGTATTTTCATGCGCCCGGCCTGGTTGGCACTGGAGATAGGAGAGGTCAAGGCCATGGGCCATGGGCGGCCATGGGCCACGGATCTTTCGGGGAGAAAGCAGGGGCAACGTGGCAACACAGGTTCATCTTCGCGGCAAGCGCCACCAAATTTACGAACATAAGAATCACAGTCTAAGCTTTAAGGTAGTGCAAAACAGCTCGTGCAAGAATAGGAACAAATGGAACAAGCAACATGAACATTGAGGATGGCGATTCTTTTCTGAAACATAGCATGAATATCTGCGTCATGTGTGTTGACTGTTCTCCAGCTTGCAGCTAGCTCGAACAAGGAGCAAAACCAGTACATCCGGTGCCCGCTACTGCCACACGCTCTCACTACGTTCAAACACTGCACTGCTATTGCCCTGTTTTCGTGGTAAATTCTGGGTTTGGGAACTTCGGGATCCAATCTGTCATCTATTTGTGCTTTGAATCTGCGATCGACTGTTTTCGGTGCTTTCCTATCTGTGGCTTGTTTGTGCTTTACCTGTGATTCATCTGTGATTGCACGCCAACATGGACCCAAAACGCAGGCTCCCGGGGTTCGGCCCTGAGCCAAGGGGGCCCCTGGACTTTCGTCACCTTTCGTCACCGTCGCAGCCATCCCAGTGATAGGTCTGAGTGACGTACTATGAAACCGGCAAAGCTCGGGCCCTCTGATTTTTCATCGCCAGCGTCCGAAAGGCGATGGGTCTAACAACAGCAGAAGTGGCCACAGGTCGTTCTTCGAGCAGCAGTGGCACATCTTCTGCCAACGGTGTCGGGGGGAGAGCAACCCGAAACATCGCAAAGAGCTGCTCCCCACGACAACCACTCCTCGTCCTTCTAAAGGCCGGGGATCGGTTGAGGATGAAGTGGCCACATCGGGCTGCTTGCTCCTCAGCCGAGGCTCCGGCACATCCAAATCCAATGCAGGTGCGTTGTCTTGTCACGAGGCGAATTTCAAGTGAAACGAGATGAAAACCGGGCTCAACATCGCCAGGACGATTTGCAGGATCCAATGACAAGTATCATCGTCCACATGGGATGAGATTGTACTGACTGCACGATGATGCGAGCCCTGAAATGGCAATGCAATCACCTGGGAGTCGCTCATTCATCACTACCACCAACGCAGCCAGTGGTCAGATTCCACCTTACGAGTAGCAAGAAGATGCGCGGATCTGCGAAGAGATGTAAGTCAAACCTACTTGTAGCCAATGAAAACGAACCAAGTGCTCAGCAAATGATACGGGCAAACCTTTGCGTAGTAGACCTGATCTGGAGCAACACCAACATGGGTGAGATTTTGAACGGCACGGAAGCGGCCTTGAGAAAGGACCAGAAGACAAACGACCTCTGACAGAATTCATACCACGTGGATGTGCATGCTCAGCTCCCTGACCCCTCTGCAGCATTTCGCCGGGACCCGGACATCACCATCACCGACATCCAGGCGCCCCCAACACCGAGGCGACAGGAAGCCTGGAGCCAATTGGAATTCTGGATGAACTGCTTTAGGGCAGCCATGTATCGCTTACCTTCCGTAGTGGTATCCCGGCATGAGCTATGGCTCGCACCCGCCAACATCGCAAAGCTGCTTGCGCGGCAGAGATGACCATGCTGATGAGGAGCTGAACAGAACAGTGGAATCAGGGAGTAGCAGTCGCTCCGGCTGGCGCTTCATGAATACACAGGGATCTGCTCGAGTTGAATCGGTGGGTCTATGCTGAACCAGGCAAGCCTTGCCTTGACTGTCGCCAGGCTCATGTCATTAAAGCTGTCCTGGTACGTCAGTGCCTTAGCACAGCGCAAAGGCTTGGATGCCTCGCTAGCAGACTGTTCAGATCGGCTAAGCGCGTGTCAACGAACGATCCCTGCAACCACAACGCCATGACATTTCCGACGAGCACCTTCAGCACAGGAATCTTCACCAGTGCTGATATACTGGATGCAACGGCATCTCGGCATCTCGTTCCACCCACAAGATCGCAAGATTACTATTGCTGATTGTGCCAACCACTTTGTTCCTTAAAGATGAGCATCGAACCCGGTGCAAGCTGCCAGCCTTCGAAAGCAGCACCAGGGCGATGTGGGACTCCTCTTCCTCTTGAACTCTCTCCTGGTCGCCGCACCCCAAAGCTTAATTTCTTCTGCCTGGCCAGAGCCGCGGCCTCCTCTTGGACCGCGTGAAGCTCGCTTTGTTGGAGATCACGCGAAGTCTCAGGGCTCAGGGCAGACCGTCGAAAGGCAATACGTGCCATCTGCCAAGACTTCGCGAGGGATATTCCCGAGCACTCGACCACTTTGCCAAACTCGTAATCCTCACGGGCCTGCAGTACGCTAGCAGCGGCTCAAGCTGTTGACAACAGTGACATGCTTTCTGTGCCTGCGTGGCTCTGGCAGTCACGCTCAACTTCGTTGTGTCGAAGACCCATCTCTTTTGCAACGCCATCTCCTGTGGCTTCACTCTGGTGCTATGTAGCACCAGAGTCATGCTAGACTTGCGGCAACTCTGAACTCTTCATTTTCTGAACGCTGGCCACTTGAAGCGATTTGGGGAGCAGCACGCTCACCAAGCTAGCATTGAAATCGCAGTCATGCATAGCTTCGAGAAATCTTTGGGGCAAGACGAGAGCATGAGCTTCGTTCGACGTCGCCTCTCACGGACTCGCCACCCTGTTCTCGAGCAGATCCAATCGCGCCACGCAGTTTGTCTGAAACTTTCGCTATGAGAGGTCATCATCATCGGAGATGTAGTCGCTGCCGTCTTCGCCTTCCTTCTCTGTCCGATGGCCCAACCTCACTGGCGCGCTGACCAGTCGCAAGCAAAGATTCCCTTAAAATCCTCTTGTAACTTTTAGCAAAGACGGAAGCTGCAGCTAGCTGCGACCTTGCAGCATATGACCACCAAAAAGAGCAGCTGCCAGTCTTGCAAAGCCTGCGCGGAAGCAGCCAGGCTCTACGCAAGCACCAAGGGATGCCTTTGGCGCAGCCATGCTAACCACGAGACTACTGGGCGTGCAAGCAAATTAGCTGGGACAATAGCTGAACTTATTATCGTCATTATGGGCTTAACTGAGTGGGAAAAACTATGTGCACTATGTATGCGTAGGTGTGCACCACAGTCTTGCACACGAAAAACACACATGGACACACACCCACACACGCACACACACACACACAGAGGACATACCTACATACCTACATAAACAGATACATACATCCATATGTACATACATACATACATACATGCATACATACATACATACATACATACATGCATGCATCCAAGCATTAGTATACCCACATCGACAAACAGACCTGCGGACGCCTGAATTGACTGACTGCACGCTTCTGACGTGCCAACGAAACGATCATATACGTCCAAGCCTGATTATCTACATTGACCTGCTTGCGTAAATCTGAACATGCATTCATGCATGCAAGCATGCACACATATTACTCGGCTGAACGCTTACATGCATGCCTGCACACACGCACACACAAGATACCATCATGCGAACATCTGGTACTCAGCCACGGGCATGGTCATTCTATTCGGATCAAGGAACATCCAGGAAGCTCTGGACGGGGAGGATCTTCGAGGGCTTCCCACGTCTCGAGTGGAGCTTGGCTCCTTCCCGTCAAGTGTCAGCGACAAGTGAGCGATGATGGCTGATGTGGTTTGTACTTCTCTGTGTAAGGGGGAGCAAGCCAGCCAGAAAAGCCATCCTGCCAGATACATGGTCCAGGATGGCACCTCACAAAAGTCCCAGCAGCAGATGCAGCTGTTCGTCAGATGCTTCCCTGTGTACTTGAGCTTGCCAACCGAGGCACGCATCTGGTGCAACCAGGGCTCATCAGCATAGCCGTCCCACCTTGAGCAATTTACAGTAGCAGCTGCCGATCCAGATCGAATCTGGAGTGCTCCGTCTAGATTCTAGAGATCACTCAACACATTCCCGAAACCCCAACCGGCCACGACCCCTATTCACCTGAACCTACAACGGATCGTCGGCAGTCTGAGGCCGCATCTCGGGATCGCCAGCTTTGAGAAGGAGCTGTGCGCCTGCCTCGATGGAAGAGGCCTGCTGCCATCGTCCTTGCACTGGTTTCTGCGAAAAGTACGGGTGTTTGAATGGTTCCACGCAGTATGCAAGGTTGTGTCGGCAAGTAACAGGTATTGCCTGCGTTACGTATCTAATGTCGCTGAATATCATGCATCACATGCCGCGCATACATGGCATGCAAGACGTGTCTTCCAAGCACTTAACATAACGGTGTGTTGGGTGCTTATGCATACATGCACACATGCATACACATAATTACAAAGTATAGATTTGGATCTACGCTGTTGTGCAGTTCCGTTGGATGCTAAGAAGTGTTTTTGCATGTACAAGGGAAGGAGGTAATCATGCACAGTAGGATGTGCAAATGTGTGGCCCACTCTCTATGTATCGATTTCTGCGTAGATCTATACATACACACATCTGCGAGCAGATACGTACATGTACATAGCCACATCACATACGTGGTGAAACCTCCATATCGGGCTAATATCTACCTGCCCACCTACCTACCTTCCCACCCGAATCTGTGCACATACATACATACCTACATACATTGACCGACATACATACATACATACATACACACATCCATGCATGCATGCATGCATGCATGCATACATACATACATACAGACAGACATACATACATACATACATTCATATGCGCATACACATCCACACACTACCTGTAGATGCTGTTTGCAGGGTTCGGCCTAAGACTCCATAGACCATGAGCGAAGTCCACAACATGAGCAGCATCATTTTGAGGTCGCCCACAGCATCATGCAACACAACACGAACCGCAACTGCTAACGGTTGAAAACCCACAACCCCGGTCGCCCTAGTCCCATATAGTGCAAGGCATGCGCATGACGTTTGGTAAGGGCAAGGAGGTCAACGGTAAAATCAGAGTTTAGCACTCAGGGTTGCGCATGTTCAGTGACTTTGGGTCGGGCACCTAGGTCTTGCCTTATAAGTGGCTGCCCCAATAGGTGCGCACATGTTGGGAAATTTTCCGAGTCGATCGAACCCACCAAAACTGCAGCATCTCTGAGTTCCACAGCAGCACTTGCTGGCTGAGTGTATCAGACTCATCGAATCTGCTGCCACCTAAAACCCACCAGAAACGAGCAAAACTCTGGATAAATCCGAGAAGCTCTTGTATAGCTCCCCGGCTGCTCCGGAACAGTGCGCCTTTTCCCCTAAACGCACCGTAGCTTGAGCAGCGGGGGTTTTGGATGTATTCAAACTTTCCGTCTGGAGGGGTCCAACAAGGGACACATCCGAGATCATGTAGGTTCAGTTCTACGGTTGGTAATCCGGTTTAAAGTGCAGGGTTGTTCGAGATTTAGGGGTTGTTGCTTCAGGGTGTTAGAGGTTTAGCTTGAAAGGGTTTTTGGGATATGATTAAGGCCCCCAGCTGGTGGATTCTCATCGCTTCTTGCCAGGTTCAATGTTACAGCTTGGGTCCAGCGTCGACATCACAAGATTTTTTTGAGGGAAATCTTCCTTTTCACCCTGCAACAGTGCCCTGCAACAGTGACACAGTCCTTGCCGCAGACTCTAGTGAAGTAACGGAAGCTTTCGCATCTTCCATTGAGCCCGCAGCTATGGGCTGACGAGTCGGGTTTGATTGTTGTAATCGCATGTGCTGACGCTGCAAACTTCGAGCTTGCACCTGCCAGACATTGTGAAGCAGCCACTGAGCAGATTTGGCAATGGCATGCAAGCGCCCGTATTTTCAGCCGCCAAACTAGTTAGCCAAAACCCTTAGTCCTTGTTTGCCTGCGTCGGTGGACATACGGTCTCTTCCCCATCTCCGTGGTTCCGCCTGTACCTGCTTTGGATTCGGGTCTCACCTGTCCGGCTTACTTTGCTATGTATGAGATGCACTTCCCGTTGTAGCTGTTTTTTGGATTCTTGTCTGTTGTCTTCGGTCTGGAGGATAGCATGGATTCCGTGTCGAGGCGAGGGAAGGCCGATAATGCCGAGCATGGGCCGACATGCAGGCTCATTTCAAGTTTACATAGAATTTGAGCACAGGGTGTAGGGTTGCAACCACTCATGCATCACGTCTGAACAGCCTTGTGCGGAGGATGTGCTTGCTGCATCGGTCGTTTATGCCCGAAGCTGTCTGCTTTTGCAAGGTTGTGCGCCTGGGATGTGGCTTCCAGCCCAAGGCAGCAATTTGCCAATCGGTCCAGCCCATATACTGAATGTAAGATTGTATGCGGTTTGATTGCTCAAAGGCTGACGCCAAAGCGCTCCAGCTATACAGTTATCATTTACAGACGCAAACAAAGCAAATGCAGGATACTTATGCGAACTGTGAACGATCGAAGCAGTGGATGGAGTTTTTATGAAGCATCTGACAGATGGGGACATTGCAAGCCAAGCCACATGTTCGTTAGGCCAGGGCCGTCATGATCAGGCATCCTTGAGATCAAGGGCTCGAAGGTCCAGGTGCACGGAAGACGATTTACGGACTTTGGGCGCAGAGTTCGTTGTCATAGTGTAGGTTTGTCCGTGAGGTGGGGATAAGGTTCGGTTCAAGGGGGGATATGATGAGGAAGAATTCATGTTACTAGGTTCGGTTGAGTGTAGCTAAGACTTCACCAGGAGCGATAACCGCTACATATGTTAAGACTGTGGACGATACTTCTCATATAGACCTTGTTTCGTGAGCTCGAAGCTCGCGCACAACAAATACTCACTAACCTCTGAAGAAACTAAACCCTCACCCTTAAACCTAAATGCGCAACTAACCTAAACCCTCAACCCCAAACCCTCACACCTGCCGTTTGTTTTGGCAGGAGTCGGGGCACTGCCTCTATTGGACCCAGGAGGCCTCCTGTACTGTTTGACTGGGCAGTTTTGGTTTTAGAATCCAGGTTGCTATGCTGCGGGTTCTATGGGGCGCACAAGGCGTGGACTCTAGCGTGGTGTATGTATTGCCTCCAGGAGGAAATAACGTGTACAGTCGATGGTTGAATATGGGTTCTATAAAAAGCTTGGGCTTGGGCTTGGTGCACGTGTTGGGTTGAAACCGAAAGCACAAACCTTCGATCCTGCCGTCAGAAAACTCTGGCCCTCAATATTTGACCACGGAATAACCTTCGAAGAACCCTGACGGAGATGGTATCGAACCCTAAACTCAGGGCTTTCATATATGTTCTTGTCCAAAGGTTTAAGATTCCTGTACGGGCCCCTTGAGTTTACAACTTTAGGGTTATATTCCCTCTACGGGTGCTTAAGGAAGGCCCTTGAAAGTTACTGTAAGTGCTTTGTTGCTCCTTGGAGGGTTTCTCTTGAGGATATTAAGGGTTAGTCTGAGGATTCTTTGAGGGTTTAGTTCGGGTTTAGGGCAGAATCTTTATCGACATCCTTGGGGCCTGGGTGCCTCGTTGTCTAGGGACTTATACAGTTCATACCAGACTGCGATAAGCCTGTCAGGGCTTGGGGCTTGGGGTTTAGGGTTTCAGCGTCTAGGGAGAGGGCCTGGGGTCATTTGCAGGGTGTTGTCATATTTAGAATCAGCCCCAACATGTGCGTAGTTCTCCAGATTGGGGGGCCCTTTTTACGTGCCCGAAATAGTACGGCACCCTTATGAAAAGGATGCTAAAAGGGACCTTCTATTTTAGAGTATTTAGAGAACTACCCATGTGTTTCTTACAGGGGCTCTACAGAGAAGTCACGGCTATCGCATCGGAAGTGCGGCTAGTGACCTGGACTAATAATCTGTACTCTAAGCCCGAAATTGAAGCCCCGAACAAGCACCTAAACCCTAAACCCTAAACCCTAAACCCTAAACCCCAACTAGGAACCTGCAGGTTCCCGAAGCCAGGATCGGCGTGGAGTTGGCGGGAAGGATCGAGGCCGCCGCTTTGTGTTAATCGTTTGTGTTGTAGGCTCAGGGTTTAGGGTCGAAGGGGCTGCTGCATGGTGGGTTCATGGCTTCTGTGCCCCTGAGTGGGAGGGTTTTCGAAAATACAGGAGGCTCCACTTTGCAACTTAAAAGGGAAGGCGCCGTAGATACCCCAAGCATCCTATTTCCTAAAGCATAAATTAGAGCCCCAAGCTTAATCCCTAAACCCCCCGATGAACGCTCTCGTCCTAATGCGCTTATCCCCAAAGCCCCCTACCCCTGAACCCTAAACCCCAAACCGTAAACCAAAAAAAACCCGAAACCCCAAACCGTAAACCCCCAAAAGAACCCTGACCGCTAAACCGTAAACCCCAGAAAAAACTTATATATTATAAACCCTAAACCCCAAAGCCCTAAAACTATAAGTCCCAAACCTTGGAGGTTCGAGGCTCCGACAGTTTGTCTTGCAGGAGGGGTTATTTAGGGTTCAGGGTGTAGGGTTAAGGGTTTCGGGGTTTTGGGGTTTGGGGTTCAGGGTTTAGGGCTAAGGCTTTCGGGGTTTGGGGATTTAGGGTTCAGGGTTTAGGGCTACGAGTTTCGGGGTTTAGGGGTTTAGGGTTCAGGGTTTAGCCCTAAAGGGCGAGTTTCGAGGCTTAGGTTGTGAGGCCTTATAGGGTTGCTAACTGTAGGGTTTGAGTTAAGGGTTTCAGGATTTGGGGTTTCGGGTTTCGGTTCAGGAGTAAACGAGATCTTCTGCAGTGGTTTAGGGATTTAGGGTGCGTTAAGGGCATATGTTGACAGGTGCAAAGGCTTGCTGTATTCCTCGACATTCAGCTCCCTTGAGGCTTATCATCAAGCCACGTCTGTTTCATGTTTGTTGGTTGTACCCTAAACCCTAAACCCTAAACCCTGCACCCTAAGTCTAGCCCTCAACTCGACGGTTTATCGGAGATCTTACGAAGAAGCTTCGCACGGATTAATGGCGGAATAGACAACAGCACTGTACATTGTGGTCCATTGCGATGTGGGGCATGCTGAGTCATGTCCCGTTCTGGGTATCTTGGTACTGTTCCTTTGGCCAAAATAGAAGTGTACCATTCAGATGACGTCAGCCGGGCTGTTGTACATGTCGGCCGGCCCGTTCGTATTGGGGTTTCCTGGTTTCCTACCTAATGGCGAAATTGTGCGCCAACTGGCATGTTACGGTGTTGGCGCCAAGAGTCTTAAACTCGTAGTTAAACGACCTGGAGTTAGAGCCGTTCTTTCGAAGCCTACATAATTACCTATACTATTTCGGGGGGTTCCTTATTAATTACAAATATAGTATAAAGGGCCCCAAAACCCTATTCTAAATATTAAGGTCCCTACATTAGACCACAAAGCCATAAATCAAAGTCAAAGCCCTCTGAAGCATGCTCGAGACATTCTCAGGCAGCCGCTGTCAATGCACCACTGCTCTGCCGTGGAGTGATGTCCTCTGCTACCGAGTTCGGGCTGAGGTAGACTGGTGTTCCTTACAGGCCCGTGCGCCTGGATGGTAACAAGGGTCGAACAAATATCTAAAGTATTCCTCGGGGTTCCCTGTGTGAATTAGCATATACCGTACCCGACAACCCACTTGTATAGTTATTGAGGCCCATATGTAAATTTTCCACATTGGGCCCATCAATTCTACAATTTAGGTACATGGACCTACCCAAGGGTGTTTAGGGTAAAAGATTCAGGGTGGCCTGTAGTGCCTGAAGTGTACTGTACGCTCCTTGGTGAATGTCTAGGTTTGGCTCAGAGTCTCGGGTGATCCAGGTGATTAGTTTTTCTGGCATCACCATGTTGTCGCATTATTCCAGTGTGAAGATTGTCGTTGTCGGCTACTGCTTCAAATCTTTGCGCTGGCTGTCCGCTGCTAGCAAGAGCGCCGATTCTGCCTATATTAGCTTCACCCGTTCATTGCCCCAAAGCCCTAAACCCTAAACCCTAAAGCCATAAACCCTTAACCCTAAACCCTGACGCTACTATGGTGGCTCGTTAACCGAAGCCGCATCACGGTGCAACACCACATCTCCCAACAAACAGGCCTGGGCCCGAAAACCAGCAGCCACCGACCACGGCAACATATTGACCCGAATAAACACATGCAGACGTTTACACCCGCACCCACACACCCACACCCACACACACACACACACATGTATACATATATATGTATATGTATATGAGATGAGGTCAAAATTATCGTATATTGGTTGTACAGCAGGCGGTTGTCGAAGATGGCCAATGCTACCGTTGACTTGTAAAACGATAGGGGACGCTCTAAAGACGATACTCTAAATGCAACAATATTGCCAAGTTGCATTGACTGTAAAACGATATGGGACGCCCTAACCCCAAAACGAGCCTAGCACAAGCAAATAATTTTGA